TGAGTCTGTACTGAATGGACTCATGGGTTGTCTCGTATGGACTTAAGATAATGCTCAAAGAAATGATGCTGCTGAAAAAAGCCCTACATTACTAAATGTGTACATTTAAAAAATAACAGACCTCTGAAAACAGAATTGCCATTACTAGCGTAACTTTTTTTCCTTGTAAAAACATCAGATCACATGTGCTTTTTTACCGTGAAATGTTGGGGTTTTTTTGTTTTAAGTCTTAACATATGCAGGTTTTTGCCGTGCCTTTTCAAAGATTTTGTGTCAATGCCTCAGCAAATGTTTCTGAAAATCTCATTCTATAATATTGTCTTTCATAGTGTTGATGTTTTATTCTCTGTAATTTTCTCTTTCCCTGGTGTTTCTTCGATTTTTTTTTTCACAGTCTGTTCTTTTTTCACAGATTTTATTTATAATTGATACAAAACCTACTATTTAAGCTGACAAAGATGGCTTTTAGGATAGATTGGCAGGCAAGCTAAATTGTTCCTATTTTATCTCTACCATAGGGAAGTGTTTATTTATTTATGTTGAAATGCATATTATTTTAATGCTGATTGCTCTGTCTTACCTTAAACAATTGTAATAATGTTTCACAAGTATTTTAATCTAGCTTTTTGTTTGTTTTAAAGCAATGACTTTTATTAAAATTACGCCTTACTGGTACTGAAGACAAAACATGACTCCACCTATGAGGTGATCTCATGAGAGAAGCATATCTTTTGACCTGAGTTTTTAAGATTGTTTATAACTGTTAGGTTGTAGATTAGTTTGTAATAGCACTGATTGCATTATTGGATCTGCAAGAGTGTTGTGTTTTCTTCTGATATTTTCAGTGCAGTGAGTCATAATAATAAAGCATAACATGGCTTCTTTTGTGGTTTTTATACTGACAAAATATTCTCGGACATATCCTGCCATGTTACTTAGGATAGGCTTTAAAAGTGTCTTTAATTCAGACCCATTGTCTGTTTGTAAGCTCTTAATTTGGTCCCCAGGAGCTGTGCAGGCAGGTGACCCCATGGTGTTTCCCTTCCAGGCAGGCTCATTTTGGGAATCAAGGCATTTGCAAGAATCCTTAAGAGGTGGGGGAGTGCCAGTGGTTCCCCAGCCGTTTTCACCCTTTTGTCCTTGAAAGTAAGGACAAAGAAGGAAGAAAAAATGGAAGGACCTGTTTAGGAATCCTTTTCTTGGCCTACTTTGTAAAGAAACACAACTTGAACAACCTGGGTATGTTCATCACAAGGGTGATGGGTGGGAGAAGAGCAGCTGACTGACCACCAGCAACCCTGGAGCTGGATCCCAGGGGACCCTGTATAAGCCATAAGAGAAACACAGCCCTTCAGGGTGCAGGCATAGCAACCCAGGCCAGGTCAAAGGGGTGCTTGGCCAACTGCCCTGTCGCAGTAGCCCTGGGCAGATGCTGAGGGAGAAGTGGAAGAGCAGAAGAAGCTTGTATGAGGCTTCCCCGGTGTCCTTTTCCAGGACTCCAAGACTTTGAGTCAGGTGCAATTTCTGTGCATTTGGCAGCTCCCACTTATGTCCACTAACTTGTCCATTCCCAACTTGGACCAATACAGACCTCTAGTATCCATACCTTCCTGTGGCAAGAGGTTGTAAAATATTCTCGGGCATATACTGCCATGTTACTTAGGATAGGCTTTAAAAGTGTCTTGAACTGGCACATTGTGCCAGTGCCAGAAAAGGTGCCTTTTTATTAGTTCTGAGTTTACCGATCTTTTCTGTTACCTCCTAGTGCTTGTGTTGTACAAGGCAGAGAATGATCAATCTCTTTGTTTTCTCATTGCAGACACAATATCCAGGTCTTTGAGAGGATGACATGTGATCTTCAAGAACATAAAAACATTAACAGTAGTATCTTTTAAAAAGCAGTAATTTTGTCAGACTCACAGGAGCAGACCCTGTGCTTCTCCTTATCATCCTTCCAAACAAAGCTATAAAAGTCTTTCTGAGTTAAGCCATGCTGTTTGAGCCCTGTCTTCTGTACTGTATACTTACTTTAATATCTTACATTTTATAATCTCTTGCATCTTCCTTGGCACAAAACCCTTTGTGACCATCAGATAAGAATGACAGCCTTAGTTTAACTGAGCCCCCTAGAAATAGTGAAGAGTAAAAGTAGAGCCCTAAGCTATAAAGGAGGCTTTAGTAAGTCCGTGGAAGCATAAACTTCTGCTGAAAGAAAGTGTAGTGAATGCTGGGAAACTGTGTATCTGACTTCGGCAAGCTGAACTAAATACATTTTAAGAGAACATCTATCTAAATTTCTAAATCTGGAAAAGGTATACAAGACCTTATAGAAATCTTTGAGCTTCCCCCAGGGAATGAGTATCCTAAATATTTAATATTCACTTCTAAGAAGGTTTAGAGTATTGTAATGAGTAACTCAACAGCATTTCTTTTAGGTGCTCCTCAATAATGGGTCACCTGCAGGCGGTTGTGCGAAGCATCAATATAGATATAGGTATATGGGCCTGATCAGAATTAAGGGGGTCCTAGAGGGCAAATCTGGGGCAGCTGATCACAGTTTCCGCAGTGGCTGAAGGACTCACTCACTCTTTCTTCCACCCTTATTGGCAGCTGCTCAGGTACATTCCCTCCCTTCTGTCAGCTCTGGAGTTTATCGTACCTCTTCTCAAAGGACTTCAGTTACCTAATGGAGCAAAAACATGGGTTTGTTGAACCCTCCCAAGTGTACCTTGACTTATGCCAGGGCTGACACGAAGAGTATTTTGATGAGTGTTAGTTCTGACACCCGGAGTGTTTTGATGAGTGCTTGTGCTGACACAAGGTAGGTTCAGTGCTTTCTCCTGAGGGGGCACTGAGACCTCCTGCTTCCAGCAGCAACCAGCTGTGAATTCACTGTGACTGAGAGAACCCCACCTGCATGGACAGTTGTCCCATGGATGCTACCATTCAGAAATTTGTTAGCATTCCTCTTTTTCTTGCTGCTGTTGCTTACACTTAGGTACAAAGTGGGTTTTGTTTTTGGTTTTTGTTTTTTTTTCCCTTTAACATCAGTTTCCATTGACAGTCTTTGTACATTTGAGGTTCTGCCAGCATCTTCTATAGCCTAATTATCTGCCTTTATATTTTGGTGTATAGATTCTGGTGCATTCACGTTCCCTCACAACTCAATTTTTTGCTAGTCTTTAGGAGCCTCTGTGCTGCCAGGTAATGGAACTTTGTAAACAAAACTGTCCAGTACCTGTCTGCAGTATTTGGAAAGAGTTTTCCTTTGGGCAGTGGTATTAATCTTACCTCAGTTTGACTGGAAATACATCTTCTTTGATGTATTCTGGGATGACAGTTGTGTTTTTCAGGAAGACACCCTATTGATCTGGCAAATCATTTTGCCAGAAACAAGTGCGGTCATGTCTTTCTTCCTTATAAACCAGGCCTTCCAAAACAACATGATAGAAATTCCCTCCATCCCTTAAGTGCATAAATTTGCTGTTTGTATAATTGAATTTGATCTTATTTCTAATATCTAGTGCTGAAGATCATCCAGGTCTTTCCTATGGGAATTTTTTTGATCTTCTTTATTCCTCATGCTTTCCAATTTAACATTATCAGCATATTTCATTGGAACCCTCCTGAGATTTGTGCCTGGGTTATTAATGCGAATACCAAGCTGGCAGCTTTTAGGGCTGATATGGGAGGACCTGTGCTGCCAACCTTGTCCTGCTTGCGGCTCACTCATGGCTGTCACCAATGTCTCTGTGAGCAACAAAGTCCATGGTCCTGCTCCCTTTTTGGCCAGAGCGAAGCTCTGGAAAGGTGATGAGCCACTGCCCTGGGTGCCACTCTGCTGTTCCTGCCCTCCCTCAGCAGGTCAGTTCACTTCTAGCCTGGTGTTTTGCTGGTTTAAAGGAGAAATATTCAATTGTGCTTCTTCTGCTGAGGGGGTCTTTGCTAATTGCCTTTTGGCCCAGCAGTCAACCTGCCTCTTCTCAGGTTTTCTGTACCAATTCTTCATCTTTTTCAGTTTAATCACCACTGAGGTGGGACAATATCAAATCTTTATACTGATTTAATCTCAGTAAAATTTTGCAGTCTTTGAAAATGCTTAGTGAAATTTATGATGCAGATGATTTGGTCCCTTCTAACCTTCCCAATTCTGTGATTCTATAATTTGCTTACCTAGAAAATAATTATGAGGGAGAGGATTTGACTGGTTTTGCACTGAAGCGTCTTAGTAAATACAGCCTGCGTTTAATTTATATATGTTTACCCCAGGTCTGATTGTTTTTTCTCTTCAGTGTTTGTTCCAAATCCTTGTGTACTTGAAGGCTGTGATTGCTGTTGCCCAGAGCCTTTTCCTCTAGCATTGCTAAAACTGCAGGGCTCCCAGGGAGAGCGGTGGTAGGGATTCCTCAGGACAGGACCTGCCCCAGGGGCCCCACCACAACCTTCACACTTGCACTGTGAGCTTGCCTGGGCTGCAGCTCCCCTGGCCGATGGCTTTGCTGACCTGTTAAGTATGGACCTGAGCTCACGGTATTGGTGTTACAAGGTCATTTTATTATTGTGCCGTTGTGTCCTTAGGAGTCTGCCAGCGCAGCTACCACTTTCTCTCATATTGGGTTGGAGTCACTCCTGCTGGTTTTACATCCTTCTGCTTGTTTCTTTTTTTAAAGTCCACCTAACTTCTGTACTGTTCAGCTTTAGCAGCAAATAGGAAAACGTCTTGAATTAAAATCAGTATCAGTGGCTGGTTTTGAAGCTTCCATGAAGAAACTCCCCCTCAGTTTTCCTTGTCCCACATTCTGGTATTAAAAATCAATGTATCCCATGCACTGTGTAACTCCATTGGAGATGGTTGTTTCAGTGATTTTTATGAACATTTTAGGAAAAGTATCCTGCAGGTTTTGCCCTTTTCAAATGTAAATGTTCAATCAGTGCTTGCTGAGAGGGAGTGCAAGAACACACACGCAAGGCTTATGGTTCCTTTTTTCTTTTTCTTGCAGTGACCTGCTGTCTTCTGAGTATCTTGAGAGGCATATCGAGCAAGGTGGGAAGACAGTGGAAGTTAAAGTAAGAATTTCCTTTTTATACTTTGCGTTTTTAATTTGCTTGGCTTTTGATGTTAATGCAAACTCACTTGTTTTTGTGAAAGAAGAGAGATCTGATTTTTCAAGGGAAAATCTACTTTTCTACTTTTCTGAGGCAAGCATGTTTCATGTTTTCTAACTTCCGGCTCTTAAACAATAAACTTCTTTGGCAAATTTAGTATATTAATGTTAATATCAAAATGGTATCCATGAAAAATGTATATATGATAGTTCATTTTAGTAATAAATATACTTTACTTTTGATGCCTATTGAAGAAAATCCTTTTGTTTTGGTATCTAGCTTTCCACGTTGTACTAATGCCCAAGTTTGTTGGTTATGAGCTTCTTTATGAATTTGAAAATAGCAAGATTTATGGTATAATATTTCCAAATATCTAGTCATGGGTTTCTTTCTCTGTATGTTTGTTGGCATGATGACTACAAGATCCTATTTGTTGCAATGTGAAATGTCCGACAACTTTTACAGAAGTGTTTTGTTATATGCATGTAACATGGGAGATTTTTCTTGAGGACCTTCTGTTTGTTAGGACTTATTTTGTAGATGTCAGCTGTAAAATTGCTGTAGATTACATAAAATGTGCACAAATGTGTTATATGCTGTGCATAAAGGAAACTCTTTAAATTTGACTATGAGGTAAATATCAGATAAACTTTTGCTCAAAGTTTGTTTTAAAAATGTAAAATTTTTAAATTTTTTTTTTTAAATCCCCCAGAGTGCATTACTAGATCTGAGATCACCTAAATACACTGAAACAAATGTATTAACCTCTGCAGTGTGAAAATGGAAGTGGGCAAAGTAGTCCTTTAGCCAATGAATAGCTAAAGATATCCTTTGGCTTATCCCCTTCTGTCACTCGCAAATGTGAAGTCTGCTCTTTTACTGTTCTCAGAGATGATAGTCTGCATACATTATCAGACTGAGGCAAACACATACGTGTTCCATTTAATTGTAAAGACTAATTTCTCAGTCAGCTGTGCTCTGCAGTCAAAAAGTCTTGACTGAGATTCAGAAAATGAGTCAAAGCAGAAATAAAGATAATAGCTGATATTAATAAGAACAAAAGAATCCATTTGTCTGCATCAAGGTATATGTTCAAGTTATCTAAGTTAATCTATCCAACTGCCATCACTGAATTAGGACAAATCTATTTCTCATGAGCAAGCCTTAATCAAACAAGGAAATGTTTGAAATCAGTGACTCTTTGCATCCAAGTACTGTTTAATTACATAGGGAAGAGATAGGAGGATCAGGCCTTTTGGAGGAAGGGTCATAAAATGATCTGGGCCAAACAGCTCCCAGTCTCCAGGGTCCCAGAGATTATTTCCTCTTCAGTTGTCTGCCATGCAGGGTCATGGTATACCTTCAGGGATGGCTGTCACTGCCTTGCTTAGCACTCTCAAATCTGCTTTAAGTAGAGTACCAGCATTGCTGCATGGAGCTTGATACTCGACATTAGCTGAATTGGGAGTGAAAGGGGCATGAGACTGTACTATAAAGGAGAGAGGTTGCTGCTTGAGTGGTGTGTTTCCCTCTCCATGCTGCCTCATACCTTTCATACCCATGGGCAGGGGTGCAGGGGTGGATGGCCCATACAGGGGGTCTTTTCTGCCCCCTTGTCTTCCACTGCTCCAGGAGTTCTGCAGGCAGCAGTCCAATGGAAGCATGCTAGGAAGGGAGATGTAAATTTTTTGCTTGTTTTGTTGCACCCGAGTGTGTGGGATTGGAGGAGAAGGAAGCAGCTGCTGTGACAATATGTCAAAAGAGCCTGTTGGCCCCAACCATGGGAATGTTTTCAGAAAAGTTCAGATACTGATTTTTGGAAAAGTGCAGGCTACCAAGTACATTTTGATACCAGACACAAAGTGAAGCTGATTTCAGTACCCAATAGCTGTTTAAAAATAAATCTGATACTTTCTGACCAGTATTTTTTAGAGCCACCTGTAAATGCATTAGAGAGCTTTGTTTGTCTGTCAAACAGTTTCTGAAAAGCCTAGCAGTATCTATTTTGCATTTGAGAAACTGAGCTCTGGTTTTACATCAAATGTTTTGAAAATCGTGCTGCAAATAAAAGACATTTTTGTTATAGTGACTTAGTATCTTCCATTTCTGTGGAAATTGTTTACCATAACTGGTTACATAATTATTATGCTAGATTTTGGGGATTGTGCAGATTGCTTAGATACTTATTTAAAAACAGCTAGTAAAAGGGTACAACTTAAAAATAAATTGCAAAATATGCACTCTGCTATGCAGCATATTCTTAAGCAGAGGCAGAAGAGGTATTTCAGAAAGGAGCCAGGTTTCTATCAGTTGCTTCAACATGCTGCTCTTCACCCACCTCTGTGCAATTTGTCTTGGGCCGTAGGCAGAGACAGAGGCAGCCTGGCAACATCTCTCTTGCTGCTTTGGTGGGAGAAACGGTGACAGAAAGAAAATGTCCATCTGCCATCCACTGCCAGCTGCAGGCTTTGAGCAAGCCTGTTTATACAGCAAAATGGCCTCCTCTGTTCTTGACCTTCTTACTGGCTAAGGAAAAGTGTATTTTAAAATACATACATATTTCCACTTGCATTTCTCTGTGCAGGAAGACCGCACAAACACACGGATTGTCGGTGCTGCTCTTGTGCCATCAGCAGTATGGGAGATGTCAGGAGCTTTGAATCGTATGAAGGCAGCTGTACATACACTCAGCAGTTTGGGAATGTTACAGGCATGAATGTGTCTGGGGAGTGAATGCCTGCCTTGGCTCATATGTGATGTGGAGTTGATAACTACTTCTGCCACTCCTCCCCCTCTCCTTGCCTCCCAATAAAACTTCCTGTGCTGTAAAATACAGATGGATCTTCTGCCATTACTGAGGATGCTTCAGAGAAAAGAGGGGGGCAGGGAAAGGGAGAAACATTCAGATCATAAAAAAATGCTGCTTTGAAGTAGCAAAGAGATTTTCATAGGGAGAAGAGTCCTTTATTTAACATACCTTTTTATCGTAAGAGAAAGTTGCATTGCATTTGATTTCTGCATAATTCATTAATACATTAGACGATTGTGAAGGTGGAACATGTTACACGTTTTTGCAGGGTGCCAGCATTTAGTTGCTGCAGAGGAGAAGCTTCTGTGTGAGGTGCCCTTGTTAATTTGGCACAGTTAGGCAGCGCCTATGACATTCTTATTAAACCAGCAGCAATGTGCCATTCCTAAGAAAAAAAAAAGGAGGTAGATGTTTGAATTATTTTGGTGTTTCCCCCCACATCCTCCTCTACTGTACATCATGTGTCTAACTGCTAGAAAAGCGGTAGTGTTGGCCTAAATTTCCTCTAGTAGCAAAGAGAATAATCAATTAATAAGAAAGAGAAAAACCCTTCTTGGCATTGCCTTTTCCTGATTGTGTCATTCCAGATCATCCTGTGCTCACAGCACATCAATACTCAACCTGTGTATACCTAATGTTGTTGCAGTATATCTCTGTGTCCTTTTATCTCTCTCTCTCTTTTTTATTTTTTTTGGTTATCATTCTGTCACTGATGCTGTCGGTGAGATGAAAGGCAAAAAACAGCTATAGTGCTGAGTAATTCACATTGCTGGATTTTTCTCCCTCAGAAGGAACAACTGATATCTATTCAGTGATATTTTCTCATATAAAATGTTTCAGTTTTCCTCTTCAGGGTGTGTAGAAATAGACGTTTCTTCTTGTATTCCTCCAAAACATTGGACAATTCTATTAATTCTTAGAAAATAGATTTCTGAAAAAAAATAAGCAATGAAAATAATTCAGATCCCCAGTCAGAGAACTTACACAGGTAGAGAGTTGTGGTAGATAAATACCAGAAATTTTTGATGGCATGTTTAAACATAACTAGATGGAACTATATTTCATAGGCAATCCTTAAATTCTAAAATTCTTTAGTGTGGTGGTGTAAACACAATATATGTGTTATGGGCACAAAATTACAGCAAGAGTGCTTACAGCATAAAAGAACACTGCTTTTTGCTTCTATCTCACAGCATGTTCATACTCACAATAGCATTGAACAACATAAATGGAGACATAGTAAATGGTAGGTACTGTTTTTCTCTGTTGTAATGTTGACAGAGAAGCTTTGGCCAGACTTGTGTTGTGGCTTAAGACTGCCTCATGGCTTTGTATCCCAGGCTGTGCTGAGCTGTGCTGCTGGTCCCTGAGGTGCTCAGCCCATGAGTGTGGGCAGGACTGTGCCCAGTGGCCTTTCTTCAAAGTGCCCACGGCTGTCCTGTCGAGCTAGGGTGCCACAGTGTGACCTTGTGCTCCAGCAGGGATGCCATCGTTGTAGTTTGGGCAGTGGGGGTTTTGGGGCAAATGCATTCTAATGCTGCACAGCAAAGCAGAATGGGCAGTTTGCAAAAATAGTCATTTTGTTATGTACATTATGTGACTAGAAGTGTGTGTAAGATGCCTGTGACTGTAGCATATAGCTGTTTTAATGCCTCTGAACAAGAGGGGGAAAATACTGTTCTTCATTGCCTTAAATCTTCTATGTGCCATGATGTGTATTCAAAGGGCTCTTTATGTACCCTTTTTTGGGAAAATAATATAGAAGTGAGAAAAATATTAAAATCTTGAAAGAGTGGAGGAGTTTGATTACTCTTGACATGGTGAATATTACTTTTTCAGCTAAACTTTCTCCTTCAGATCTGAGCTGCTCAAAGAGTTGTTTAGGTACAGTCCCTTGACTGAGAGCAGTGTGTATATGTCACATCTTAGTGCCTGTGTTTGATGAGACCTTATCCGAAGTAGCATTCCAACATTTCGTTGTATCTCCACAGGTAGGAACTGATCATAAGGCTACAATAATTTGTGGTGCAGCCAGAATAAACACTGAACCTGTGAGCAGGTAGTTTTAATTATTGACCGCTATGTTTCCAGTCTTATAGCAAGGTGCTTCCACCAGCATTTTCCAATTAGGGCATCCACTGTTTGAGCTCCA